CATTTCTAATGATCAAATATTCTTTTATGTACAATTTATTCTATTTGGGTCGATATTTGCTAGTTTTGGATAAAAAAAATTTTCAACAAACATTTTTAATTTTGTATTTTTGAGTACTTTAATTAAGAATATTACAGTCTATGGCTTATGCACTAGTTAGTATTCAAACCGAATAAATCGAAGTTACCAAACCGAATAAACCGAAACCGAAAGGAGAAAAACTGAACTATACCGAATTTAATTAGGTACGGTATTGGTATAGGATTTTAAGAAACCGAATACCGAAAATACCGAACCGAAATGTCTAAATACCGTACCGTACCGACCGACGAACACCCCTAATTACACATGAAGAATACAATACAAATTTTTGTGCATGATCAATTTGGAGCTCAATGCAATAAAATACTATTAGGACGACAAAGGTTCTTCTATTATATCAAATATTTAGCTTGACTATTTTCTTGTATTTAGATATTTCAGCAATACATTAGAAATGTGAGTATGAGTAACTTTAATTATAGTTACAAATATTTCACGTCTTAAAATTTTGTCATGTTTTAAGAAAATTGTAGCCTCCCAAAACCATACTCTAAAAATCTTAAGTGGACAAACACAAGGTTATAATGAGGAAAAAAGAACCTATCCAAACATTAATAGATGAATAGCTTACGTAGAGTGAAATCTATCCAACAGTCGCGCTTAGAAAAACGGAAATATCAGTTACATCCTTAAGGTCTATCTTGGAAGAAGTGTAAAGCCAGTATACTTGCACTCATCTAGTGAGGTGGCAAACGGGCGGGTCGGGTCGGGTCGGATATGGGCTGGTCGAAAACGGGTAATTTGAAAAATGAATAAATTATCTGACCCGACCCACATTTAACACTGCAAAATGAATCCAGGGCAGATCCAGCCCAAAGCAAATGAATCAATAGCAACTGCGCTCACTGTGTGTGTGAAGACTCCGAAGGATCAGATCCAGCCCAAGCGCTATAATAAGCCAAATCCTTACATGAATCAATGTAGTCTGCTCCAGCATGCAGCCCGATCCCATAAATATAATTCATAGCAAGCCTCCGGCCTCACTCAGTCATCAGTCTCTCCAGTCACTCGGGCTCACAACACTCATGCGTAGCAGCCATAATCATTGATACGGGATGTGATAATATGCGATAACAAAAACTGAGATATGATATGTAATGATGAATACGATTGAGTACATAACTGCAATTTAGAAAATAACTCAACGGCAGAGAACAACCATTGTGGGTCACAATAGTACCAACATATAGCCTAAACATGATTTCTAGCATAAATCACACCTCAAGTGCTCTAACACACAGAGTACAGTAAAAAAGTTCAGATAAAATAGCTACACAATTCTATAGAATCTACTAAATCACAATTATTACGGTGCACGCCCACACGCCCATCACCTAGCATGGGCGTCACCTCAACAACAACTGCATAACATGTAATTCGAGGTTTCATACCATCAGAACCAAGTTTAGAAGTGTTATTTACCTCAAACCGTGCAAAACTCTACTCCAACAAGCCCATGCCTCGCGAATCGGCCTATGAATGTCTCGAATCTAGCCACAAACAATTCGATGCAATCAACACGAGCTAAAGGAATCAACTCCATATGAAAATACTAAATTCTTAATCAAAAGTTAAAAAGTCAACTCAAAAGTCGACCCCCAGGCCCACATCTCGGAATCCGATAAAAGTCACAAAATTCGGAAGCTCATTCAACCACGAGTCCAACCAGACGAAATTTACCAAATTCCGACACCAAATAGTTACTCAAATCCCCAAATTAACTCTTAAAATCCCTAGCGTCAAACTCCCAAAATTCCACCTCAAAAACACACAAACTAGGTCGGAAATTCAATGGGGAAACAAGATTACTGAATAAAAATGATGACAAGTGACTTACCTCAAGAAACCCCTCGAAATCCCCCTAAAAAATTGCCTTTATCCGAGTTTGCAAAGTCAAGAAATGATAAAAACCTAGGAACCTAACGTTATATTCTATCCAGGGCTTTTCGCACCTGCGACAAACTTGCCTGCATATGCGATGTCGCAGACACGACAAATCTCCCACTTCTGCGGTGAATCACAGGAGACCCGACCTTCACACCAGCGGAACAAGCTCCTCTTTTGCGTAAACGCAGGTGCAACCTCAGTCACTCTTCTGCGCTGCTCCTCGATTCTGCGTTCAAACTCATAGCATTTGCGATTCTACAGATGCGCTTAAAGTGCCGCTTCTGTGCAACCAGCCCATATCCTTTTAGGCCGCTTCTGCGATTGCCTCTACGCACATGACCTTCGCAGGTGCGATTACACCAATCCAACACTCTTCAGAATTTTCCAAAGTCCAAATTTCGATTCGTTTACCATCCGAAACCAACCCGTGGCCCCCGGGACCTCAACAAAACATACAAAAAAGTCCTGAAATACGAACTTGTCAAGGCCTCAAATCACATCAAACAACATCAAAAACACGAATCGCACCTCAATTCAAGCCTAATGAAACTAGGAAATTCCAGCTTTTACTGCGATGTCAAAACCTATCAAATCACGTCCGATCGACCTCAAATTTCGCACACAATTCATAAATGACACAACAGACCTACTCCAACTCCCGAAACCAAAATCCGAGCCCGGTAACAACAAAATCAACTCTCGGTAAAACTTCTCAATTTCCGAAACTTCTAATTTTCCAACTTTCGCTATTTCAAGCCTAAATCAACTACGGACCTCCAAATCATTATCCAAGTACACTCCTAAGTCCAAAATCACCCAACGGAGCTATCGAAACCATCAAAACTCCATTCTGGATCCATTTAGAAATAAGCCAACATCCGATAATCCTTTTCAACTTAAGCTTCCAACCTTGAGACTAAGTGTCTCAACTCATTCTGAAACATCCACGGAACCGAACTGACTACCCCGACAAGTCACGGAACAAAAATTTAGCATAGTATAAGCAATAAATGGGGAAACGAGGGCTATAACACTCAAAACCACCGGTCGGGTCGTTACATCATCCCCCTCTTAAATAAACGTTCGTCCTCGAATGGTCCAGAAACATATCTGGAGTCTCAAATAGGCGTGGATATCTGCTCCGCATCTGCCGCTCGATCTCCCAAGTAGCCTCCTCATCTGGCGGACCTCTCCACTGCACCTTTACTAAAGCTATGTCTTTTGACCTCAACTTTCGAACCTGCTGATCCAAAACGGCTATCGGCTCCACATCATAAGTCAAATCACCATCCAACTGGACCGTGCTGAAATCCAAAATATGAGTCGGAACGCTGATATACTTCCGGAGCATAAAAACATGAAATACTGGATGAACACTCGACAGACTAGGCGGCAAGATAAGCTTGTAAGGCACCTTTCTAATCCTCTAAAACAACTCAAACGGCTCAATATACCGAGGGCTCAACTTGCCCTTCTTCCCGAATCTCATAACACCCTTCATGGGTCAAACCTTGAGCAGTACCTTCTCCCTAACCAAGTAACCAACATCACGAACCTTCTGATCGGCGTAACTCTTCTATCTAGACTGCACTGTGCGAAGCAAATCTTGAATCAATTTAACCTTGTCCAAAGCATCCTGAGCATAGTAAGTACCCAATAGCCTAGCCTCGTCCGGGTTAAACCACCCTTCTAGAGACTGACACTGTCTCTCATACAGAGCCTCATACGGAGCCATCTGAATTCTCGATTTGTAGTTGTTGTTGTAGGTAAACTCTGCGAGCAGCAGAAACTGATCCCATGAACCCCCAAAATCTATGACACAAGCACGAAACATATCCTCCAATATCTGAATAGTGCGCTTGGACTGTCCGTCCGTCTAAGGGTGAAATGTTGTACTCAACTCAACGTGTGTGCCCAACTCTCGTTGCACTGCTTGATGACGTCAAAGTCCACTACGAAAAAGTAAATGGACACGATTGCATGCAATATAATTTTCCTAACTATGAGTCGGGATCGAATCCCACAGAGAATAATATGTAGATGATTAGGTGTGTAAGAGAATTATCACTTATTATGCAATGCCAAACACTTAGGGCTTTGAGAAAATATTTATGTCTAAATGCGAAAAATGTAAACTAACCTAGAATGCAAGTGAAATGATCAATGGATACTAGCATTGATACAAGGAAAATTACACTCTAGTAACGATCTAATGTATTTCACGATTTTGTAAATATGAGCAAGTTTATATTAATTACCCTCGGGTAATAATTTAATATTAGCTTCTTCCGAAAACTAACAAGACTTTCTAATTGAATTATCCTTGAAATAATTAAGAGATTAAGCACACCCGAAGATGGCTACAAGTAGTTCAATCTTATCCCTGGGTAGAATCTATAAAATGAGGGTTATAGCCTCAAGTTCTTGTTAAGTAATCTTTCCCAACCCCAAATTATCGTTCCCAAAATTAATTCAAAGTAAATGGGAGAGTCCTAAGGTTAGCTAATCCCTTTGGAAGCATTAAAGAACAAGAATAACTAAAGAAACAATAACTCACTTCAATATAGATAAAAATCGTACAATACATAAGCACAACAAGATATTTAATCCACACTTTAAATATTAATATTTCCCATAAACAAGATTCAAGTGTTGGAAAAATATTACACACTTAGATATACAATACAAAGCAAGGAAATGAAGTAATGAACATAAATGGGTAAGAAATTCTCAACCAAAAGCTTCAAATCTTCAAGACCCAAGTGTGTGTGCAAGAACCCTAGCTTCCAAACTTGTCTTCTCTGGTCAAGAGACTCAAAAAAAGTTCAATGATTGGCCAAAGATATGTTTCCAATAAGCTAGGTCGTGTATAAAAGGGTTTGGGATAAGGAAAACATGAAATTCCAAATCTGTCCAGAGCTGGAGGCCGTTGGCCGCACCTGCGGAAGAATCATCGAAGGTGCGGTTCCGCATATGCGGATACCTGCTCGCAGAAGTGAATTTTGGTAAAGATGGCTATTCCGCAGAAGGGGACAAGAGACCGCAGAAGCGCATCTGCAGACACGGACACCAAGCACAGAAGCGTGACCGCAGATGCGATAAATCAATCGCAAATGCGATTTCTCTAGGTCTTATTCCACTGGAAACCATTTTCACTTCTTTTACTCTTTTTTGCAAAATTCCACTTCATTTGATCTCAACTCTCTTCAAGACATCATTTACCTAAAAATCAAATAATACACACCATAAACAACCTCATATTATAATTAAAGGACGCAGAAATTAAACAAAGAAAAAAGACTAGAATAAATGGTAAAATCACCACTCATCAACACCCCTAACTTAAAGCTTTTGCTTGTCCTCAAGCAAATCAAAACCAAATAGTCAATGAGGCTCTAACATTTAAAGCTCAATTAGCATCGCTATCATCTTCAAATCACATTCTCCAATTAAGCACCATACTTATGGCTTTGGTTGGTACTAATAATTAAGCTCAAGCATATGAATGTCAACCAAATAATTCCCCGATTTAAAACTCAATCTGAAGAATGCAATGGAGTTTCACAAAATCAAGTGACAACAACCAAGCCTCAAGAAGTGACTCAAAAACACTAGTCTACTACATATGCTCAATTTACTCAATTTGAAATATATCAATGTCATCAATTCATCATAATCCATGGGCTCTCACAAGAAACAAAGTCCCAAAATCACCATATTTATAATAACAACATAAGTGACTAATGCATTGAAACACTCACTCTCAACAAAGGATTTCAAGTGTTACAAAATATCATACCATAAGCTTGCCCTTATTTTAATTCGTCGCCTATTCAAGAACATTCAGATGGAAATCCCAAAAGGACTTTTCAAGCTTGTAAAGTAGGCTTAGGGAAGGGTATGATAAGTATTTGGGATACAAGTGACTACACCCTCCTTAAACACTACTCATATTTGTCTTTTTTTTTTTTTTTTTGCATTTTGCTTCTTTTTAAACTACATAACCCTTATTGACATCTAGTTACCAACATAGAACCACCTTAAAGTACCTATCTAATTTTCTAGAAGAATCCATATATATATATATATATATATATATATATATATATATATATATATTATTTTTTTAATTTTTTATTGTGTGCGCCTGTGTGTTAACCAGTCATAGGCCGACAAATTTTCCTTAAAGTCTTCCATTAAAATTTTCCTTTTTTCATAACTGCCTCTCTACCTCCACAACCCTCCCCAGACCCCACCTATGGGATACACTGGGTATGTTGTCAGCCTCCATCTTCAATTTTTCTGTGCATGTCGTCCTGCCTCTTCATGTAATAAATCAAAAAGAAAATAAGTTATGGCAAAATGACAATTTCCACCACTGACTGCTGCAGTTAAAGCTAGACCAGCAATGGGAAGGTTATGTGAGGGATTTTACGGATTCGTAGGGAAAGATAAGTAGTTGCAATTGAAAAAAGAAGAGATGTTGTCAACCAAAAAAGAGGAAAAAAGAAGAAAAGAAAGTAGTTTCAACTGCTTTAGTCTGTTAAGTGATGACTAGAGAAAAGAGATAAGTGGGCAGGGATGGCAGTGCGCTGGGTGGTGGGGGTCGTTGGGGCTTAACCCACAAAGATTTCAACCCGCTCCGTCCTGCCCCACATAGCAATTGTTTCTGTTTCGCTCCACCCTGCAATATTTTTTTTTCATTTTCTTATATTTTTGCTAAATATATCACTTGACAGCCCAATACAATTCAATTCTAGTCCACTGTTTAATATTCCACAATTTTACTAACAACCAAAATCTTATACTAAATACATAATTTAATATTAACTTTTAACAAAGCTAACATAACTGATTCTAATATTACCTTAAAGTGCAGCAAACACAGATGTTCACAACTAAATTCACCCTTTGCTTTGACAAATTCTTTTTATGATGTGGAGTGATTAAATTTGAATGTTTAACTTGTATGCATTATTGCTAGATGTAAGGCTTAAATTAGCACTGAAATCATTTTGTAAAAGAAGAGTCGCTATGCCCCCAGGGCCTAGCTCAAGTGGCAAAGGGTGGTGGATTTGTGTCTTATGTCACAGGTTCAAGCCCCCATACCATGCAAAGCAAAGCCTGGTATTTAAGTGGAGAAGGATAGAGGGGCGGGCCCATTATCTACCGAGTTTCGAAGGCTGCGGTTGGTCCAAAGGGTCGGCCCCAGACGGATTTCTCGGTCATCAAAAAAAAAAAAAAGAAGAGTCGCTATTATTAATAATGAATTTGAGCAATCTAAATTCTGAAAGTTGAAGAGAAGCAGATTGTTAATTGTTAACAGTTAGAAACTGGAGTTGTTCTCTAAAGCGAGTCATCTAAAGAAGACGATTTTCAAAAGAGAGTAGCCATTTCTCATTGCCCAACTGAAAAAATGTTGTAGTTCAGTTCGACGATCACATTGGAACTGACAACTTCACTATGTCAAATCTTACCTGTGATTAAAAATTAATCATTCTAGTTAATTGTCATTTTAATACAAAGTCATCAGAATATCAACACCTAATCCATTTTGGAAAGGTTGATTTTAGTAAATCTAATTCTTAGCTGGAGGAAACTTGCAACCGGCCCCACATCAGATATTTAAAAAACTGTTTGAACCTGCCGTGCATAAGGTAAACCCCCCCACCCCCACCCTCTCCTTGCGGCCCCGTTTGCCACCCGTATAAGTGGGCTCAATTCTTGAGGTAACTAGTTTGGCGGAGGGTAACCTGATTTCTGAGGACTTATATCGAAAGCCAAAGTATGAAATGAGAACTGACAATGAAGATTTTCATTAAATTTGGAAAGATAAACTTTTCCGTGCATGTTTCAGGAAAATCCTTACTGTCTCTTCTGTTTCTCTGAAGCAGATTTAGCTTCGGTTCTTGTGTCAACTCAAGAGCGAAGTTTGGTTTGTTCAGGTTCTAAATTCCTCACTGGAAGTCAAACTCGTTCCTGAATTATTTTTGGTTGCAGAATCAGAAAGAGCAGAACGAGAAAGGAAAGGTGATCTTGACCAATATGAACGCTTGGATGGAGACAGAAAGCAAACGAGTAAATTGCTTGCTGTCAAGAAGGTCTTTACTGGAAACTCTTGAGTATTATTCTCTTTTATGATAAAAGAAAAGTTAAAAGTTCATGAGAGCATGAGAAACAAGAATTGATGAACATTGCCATGTGATTCTTTTCAGTACACCAGGACAGCTGAGAGGGAAGCTGTGCTCATACGTCCAATGCCAATCCTACAGAAGACTATGGATTATCTTTTGAATTTGCTGGATCAGCCTTATGATGACAACTTCCTTGGCTTGTATAACTTCTTATGGGACAGGATGCGGGCAATCCGTATGGATTTGAGGATGCAACATATTTTCAACCATGAAGCTATTAATATGCTGGAGCAAATGGCATGTAGATTTTTGCATTATTTAACTTAAGTTTGTTAATGCGTAAATCAACTAAAGTTTGTTAATGATTGATATTTTTGACCATGTTTATAGTTATATTGCTTTCAAGCATCTTTGGCTTATCATTATCTATTTTTCTGGGAAGCCTTTTCTTAATGAAACTTGTATCACCTTTTCAGAGGCTTTTATATGTGAACCATCTATAACTTATCCTGATGTTGAGATGTACACCACGATACTGATGGATTAATCTTGGAAGCTATTCATCCTTTTTTTTTCTTGTCGTAATCTAGTCATATTTTGGTAAGAGTAAGTTAGTCATATTTTTCAGAGCATACAACAACAACAATCCCAGTGTAATCCCACAAGTAGGGTCTGGAGATATTTTTCAGAGCATAAGATCTCATATTGCTTTATGTGGACTGGGGGATGGACAAAACTTGGCGTCCGTGTAATATCAAAGGTCAATTTGGTTTAGAATTAATTAATGCATTATACTCCACAACCAATGCAAGTGCTCTATTATTGTAATCAGATATTATGGTTATGTGGTTTACCATATAACATTGTTTTTTGTTGACTCAACCAGTATGGATATTTTAATACTCTATGATCTTTATTTACAGATAGGTTAGCCTGGTTGGGTTGAGTATAAAGTGGCTAGCTGTCTTGTTTTAGGTGAGATTAAGCAGAAAACTAGATACAGAAGAAAAACTCTACTGCATGGAACCATATCATGGGTGTTGGAACAGTACTTGCTTTTTCAAAGGGCAAAATGTCCTTAGCTGCTTGTGGCTCTCTGCCGGTGCTTGTTGGAGGATGTTAATTTCTTGTTTTCCTGGATATGCATTGCTTTAATCCAATTATTATCTTAGTTTAAATTCCCATGTCAAAGCACCTAATTTTTCTTCTTGACTTCAGTAAATGTTACTCAGTTTTATATAGATTCTAATTTGTATTGCCTATTGTTTTGGTTTCAGATAAGGCTTCATATAATCGCCATGCATGAATTATGTGAATACACGAGAGGAGAGGGTTTTTCTGAGGGATTTGATGCACATCTCAATATTGAACAGATGAACAAAACATCAGTTGAATTATTTCAATTGTATGATGACCACCAGAAGAGAGGAATAAATGTGGCAAGTGAGAAAGAATTTAGAGGTTATTATGCACTTTTAAAGCTTGATAAACATCCAGGATATAAAGTAAGTCAACTATCAATAAGCATGATTACCTTATTTTTTCTCCTAGTGTTTTCCTTTTGTTTAAAGTATGAGTTCTGTACTAGGTTGAACCTGCAGAGCTTTCGCTTGATTTAGCAAAGATGACACCAGATATGCGTCAAACCCCAGAAGTTCTCTTTGCTCGTGATGTGGCAAGGTTGTTTCATCATTGTATCATTAGGAGACCTTATACACTAACTCACCTGAGAATGTTTCTCTTTCATAATTTCAGGGCCTGCAGGACATGCAACTTTGTTGCTTTCTTTCGGCTTGCAAGGAGAGCTAGCTATCTTCAAGCTTGCTTAATGCATGCTCATTTCTCAAAGGTAGAACAGACACCTTCCTTAGTCTTTTAATTTCAGTAGTGATTTACTGACACCTTCCTTAGTCTTTTAATTTCAGTATTTACTGACTTCACCGATCCTTCTATCCAAGTGCATATTGTCATTCGATAATTCAACCAATCAACTACGTCTCAGTTCATGAATCGGGGTCTCAGTTATATGAATCCTCTATATTCGTTCCACTCTATTGGGAACCATGTCTTTCAAATTGATTATTGCCTTTTTTTACAAATAATTCATTTGTTCTTTTGGCATAGAAAGCACTACTATAAGTGACTTAAGGAAATAGAGAACTTGAAGTGTTTTCCTTTGTTTGTCTGATTTTGTGCTCATGTATGTCTGGTTTTGCTTTCCGTAGTTGAAGGTTATGGATGCAAACTTCTAAATATTTTACTTGTTCATAGATCTGCATTCTGTTCAAGCGTTTCATTTCTTTTGGTGTTTTGCCCAGTTACGAACCCAGGCTCTAGCTTCGTTACACTCTGGCCTGCAGAATAGCCAAGGAATCCCTGTTGCCCAAGTTGCCAAATGGCTTGGGATGGAGGTAATTTCTTAATATTTTTGCTGGCTGTGTTCTTACATACTCGGTCTTGTTGCATTTTATGTGACGTTTGATTGGGAATCGAGTTTAAGGAAGAAAAAAAGGACTTCTGGAACTTGTGATCTTTACGAGCTGTAGACATTTGTGTGGCTATAAATCATCTCATTAATGGTAAATGAGAATTTTAAAGTTAAATTGTTTCTAATATAGAACAGACTAAAAAAAGGAAAGTGTGCCACGTAAAATAGGACATAGGGAGTAACAGTTTTTTTAGTGGAGTAACTTCTTCTGTTCCTGGAAATCTATCAGGAAGAGGACATAGAAGGCCTTCTTGAGTATTATGGATTCTCAATAAAGGAGTTTGAAGAACCATATATGGTGAAGGAAGGTCCATTTGTGGAAGTTGACAATGACTATCCTGTCAAGTGCTCAAAACTTGTCAATGAGAAAAAATCAAGGACGATATTCGAGGATGTTTCGGCTCCACATGTTGAATCAGTGTGGGAAAAAGAGACAGAACCCTTGTTAGATAAGGATCATCATAAAAAACCTACAGCTATTCAATTTCTCGAGCCTTATAGTTCTTCACTGGCCATCGAGGAGGACATGCCTGATTATGAAGCTGTTTCATCTCCAAAAGATGAGACAAAGACAATTCCAATTACTAGAACAGAATCTCATCAGAAGAATGAAAGTTCGCAGGCTCCTCCTAATTATTCGGTGTCAAGTCTGCCGGCTCCTCCTAGTCCTTTGATATTCTTTCCTCATATTTCCCCTGAGACTCAGCAGCAAGCTATAGTCGGGAGAGCAGGAACACCTGAAGCGCAGCTGCAAGCTAGAGTTGGGAGTTCAGGGAAACCCAAAAGTAGTGAAGCTGCACAATTTGCTGCAAAAGGCATGACCGTTCAATTTGCACTTGCCAGAGATGAGCAGGAGAAGTTGCCAATTTTTCCAACTCATTCTCTTGTTGGAGACACAGAATTGCACCACGTGTCAGATGAAGAGAATGTAGATGAAGAACTGGTAGTCACCAGCGAGCAAGCCGAAACTAATGAAGCAGCAGCTAGTTATTATGACAAAGAAGTTGTCGAGGCAAAACTTAAACTGATTGTCAGGTGCAGCTTGTTCTTCATGGACCTGATATCTGCTGCATTTACCCTTGTTACTCTGCTAACGTGTCAATTTACAGGATATGGAAGCGGCGTTCTTCAAAGAAAAGGGAGATGCGGGAGCATAAACAGTTAGCATCTAAAGCTGCTCTGAGATCGCTCTCTCTTGGAGTGCCAATGTGGCCCAATAGAATTGTAAGTAGCGACGAAAATCTTCTTTTTTTTTTCTCTAGCTTTGGCCGCTTAAGTTTCTGTATCTGTGCTTTCTCTTGAGTCATGATAGTCTTGGTGCAGCCTCAGTTTCCAGTAATAAAAACTCATTGATTTTCTATATACTGCATAGTAGTAAACAATTTAACTAAATCATCAGGCCTTTTTATCTCTTTTTTTTAATAACCAAGAAATCCCAAGAGCCTGCTCGCACAATTCAAAACTCAGTGGATTATGGGCCTGCTCTTAACACTAGACCAACGCCCGGGGTGGGGTGGGTGTGGGGGGTGGGCAATTAAATCATGATACTTGTGCAGCCACTTTCTTTTTTTCTTTTTTGGTTGAAGTCTGAGTAGGTCTTGTGTACATGTGAAGTATGGCTGTCCAACGCGACGGAACAGGACGACCTTTAGCTGGGACGAAATGGTAGGCCCATCCCATCCCGCTAACAAGCGGGACGGGACGGTTTCGCGGGCCTTAAGTGGGCCGTTTAAAAAAAAAATATTTAAGCATTAAGTTTGGCAACGACTAGTTTTTTGACAATGACTAAGTTTTTATAGTTTGCAATGACTAGTTTTTTGACTTATTTAATAAACTTAAAAGTTAAAACTTAATAAATTATAAGAAAATTAGGAAACTAAGTAAAGAATTATAAAATATTAAGTGAGTCACTTAAGTGACTCATGTGAGAAGCATGTGGGTGTGAAGAATCCAGTTGGGACACTCTCTGGGCCAAAAGAAAATCCAACCAAGGAAGCTGAAAAAGGTTTTTTTAAGCCCAATCAAAACACCACAAGTAAAGACTCTGAAGACCTTTATCTAAACACAATGGGAGGAAATATCGAAGCTCTCCTTGCTCATATAAAATCCACAGTGGCAGAGTCAATTCGTGAAGAACAATAGAAAATGGAAGACCGTATCTTGGCTCAGGAGCAACTTCTCTCTCAAACAATCTACCCTCAACAAATCATCAACCTCAGGGAGAGAGGATCATGAAGGACCAATTGTGGGCTCTCATCTTCCTCTCATCAATTACTTACTGTCAAGGTGAACCAGAGGATGAGGATGCCCAAACAGTCTTTGTAGACTGCCCCTCTGATAGCGCAGGCGTTTCTGATGAACCAGGCATGCAATTGGTTCAACATCACCAGATTGATATTGCAGAACCAATTGAGGAGCATCCTCATAACTGTGACCTAGATGTCCCTGCATGGATCAAAAGAAACATTGGAAAGATGAGCAAAACATATGGTGTGAGCTTTGAAGGATGCGAATGGGAAGCTATGGCTCTTTTTTTGAAGATAGACAGTAGGAAAAAGGAGATGAAGGCAATGGTGCGATCAAAGAACAAAAGCACAGGGGTTTCAACAAAATTAAAGGGAGTTTATGAAAGGAAGAACCTGAAGGTTGGAGTGAAATACAAAGACGGAGGGCAAACATTTACTGTCTGCAAGAAACAAAGGTGGATGGGGATTGTGATGGTATTGCAAAGCAACTGGGTAGCAGTAGGTGGATTAACCATATAAAACTAGAAGCTGAAGGAACAAGGGGAGGCATCTTAATTATGTGGGATAAGAGAGAATGGAAAGGGGGTTTAGTAGAAAAGGGTAGATACTCTATCACTTGCAACTTTAGCTCTGTGCTAGACAATTTCTTATGGGCTTTGTGTGGGGTGTATGCTCCATGCAAGAGAGCGGAAAGAAATGATCTTTGGTTAGAATTGGGGGCTATGAAAGGGTTATGTAATAGAAACTGGGTGGTATGTGGTGATTTCAACACCACCAGATTTGCTAATGAAAGGAAAAACATGACCACATACAGTAAAGCAATGGCAGATTTTTCAGATACCGTGGAAGAGCTGGAATTGATTGATCCTGCTCTTCTGGGGGGCCAATTCACTTGGAGCCAAGGTGACAACTCTGAGTGTGCTTCTAGAATAGACAGATTTCTCTTCTCTACGGAGTGGGATGAAGAATTCAGTTTTATAAGACAAAGCCTCCTCCCAAAAGTTATCTCTGATCACTCTCCAATTTCTTTGAAATGTGGGGAATGGGAACTCAACAAGTCCTATTTTAAATTCGAAACTGGTGGTTAGATGTTCAAGAGTTCCCTGAAAAAGTGCAGACTTGGTGGAATTCTTTTGTGATTGTTGGTAGGCTAGATTTTGTGTTAGCCTCCAAACTAAAGCTCCTCAAATCTAAGCTGAATAAGTGGCATAAGGAGGAGTATGGCAGTTTAGAGGCAAGGAAGAAGACCGTCCTCGTAACATCTCAAATTTTGATCAGATTCAAGAAAGCAGAAGGCTCACTGAAGGAGAGTTACTGGAAAAGGCTGGCCTCATGTTAGAAATTCAGGAGTTAGCCAAGTATGAAGAGACTGCATGGAGACAAAGGTCCAGAACTTTATGGCTAAAACAAGGGGACAAAATACAAAGTTCTTCCACAAAATGGCTAATGCACATAGGAGATACAATCACATTGATACGCTGGAGGTGCGAGGGCAGACTACCACAATTTGGAAGAAATCAGGAAAGAAATCATAGGTTTCTACCAGAAGTTGTATGCGGAACCTGAAACATGGCGGCCAAATTTCAATCTGGTTAGGGGGAATTTTTTAACAGAGGAGGAAAATACTTGGTTACAAAGAGAGTTTGAAGAACAGGAAGTGGTGGAATGCCTTAAGTCCTGTGCTTCAGACAAAGCACCAGGACCTGATGGCTTCACCATGGGATTTTTTCAGAAATGCTGGCTAACAGTCAAGGAAGATGTCATGTCAACTCCGAAGAATTTCCACTCTAATGAATTCTTTGAGAAGAGTTTTAATGCATCCTATGTGGATCTCACTCCAAAGAAGAGTGAAGCCAGAGAACTTAAAGATTTCAGGCCAATTAGTTTGATTGGAAGTGTTTACAAGATTATAGCCAAAGTATTAACTGAGAGGTTGAAGTCTGTAATCAACAAGCTCATTGGAGGTTATCAAATGGCCTTCATAAAAGGAAGACAAGTCATGGATGCTTCTCTTATTGCAAATGAGGTGGTTGACTCTAGGCTTAAAAGCAAAATGCCAGGGGTCCTATGCAAGCTGGATATAGAGGAGGCATACGATCATGTCAACTGGAATTTCCTTCTAACACTAATGGCTGATATAGGATTTGGAACTAAATGGATAAACTGGATCCGTTTCTGTCTTAGCACAGTTAAATTCTATCCTGATAAATGGCTTACCCCAAGGCTTTTTTTCTTCTGAAAGGGGGTTAAGGCAAGGGGATCCTTTATCTCCTTTTTTGTTCCTTATGGCAATGGAAGAGCTGAATCACATGTTAACCATTGAAAAGGCAAATGGTTGGGTCAAGGGGTTCAGACGAAACTGCAGCCTAGAGATCTCACATCTTCTATATGCAGATGACTCTATCATTTTCATGGGAACTCAACCAGAAGAGATGCTTCACCTTAGACTTATATTAACAACTTTTGAAGCAGTTGCAAGCTTACATGTGAACTGGGGAAAGAGTAAGCTATTTCAGGTAAATGAAGTTCCAAACATACAAAATTTGGCCAATATTCTGGAGTGTGGGATAGAGAACCTACCTACCAAATACTTAGGCCTTCCTTTGGGCTCCAAAAACAAGTCGCAAGAAATATGGCAAGGGGTGATTGAAAGGAGTGAAAAAAGAAGATGGAAGAGTCAATATTTGTCACTTGGAGGCAGAGTGACTCTGGTAAATAGTGTCTTAGATGCACGGCCTTTCTATGTGATGTCCCTCTTCCCAATTCCATCTAAGGTGAGGAAAAAGATTGACTCCCTGAGAAGGAATTTCATCTGGCAAGGCAACAGTGAGAAAAAGACTATTCATTTAGTCAAATGGGATACTCTTTTGTGTTCTAAGCAGGCAGGTGGTCTAGGCATCAGAAATCTAAAGGCACAGAATAGCAGTCTCCTTGCAAAATGGTTATGGAGGTATAATCTGGAGGAAACAACTTTATGGAGAAGGGTGATACAAGAGAAGTATGGCCATGGAGGACCTTGGTGCACCAAACCAGTATCTTCCCCTCATGGAGTGGGGGTATGGAAAACAATCAGGGGGCAATGGGGCTTCATTGCTGAACACTCTAGTATCAAGGTTGGAAATGGAAGAAGAGTACTCTTCTGGTGTGACAAATGGTTTGGGCATACACCTATAAAAGACCAATTTCCAGAATTGTATAACATTGCCGCGAATCAAAGAATTTCAGTAGCAGAAGCAAAATCCACACATGGGTGGAATATTGTTTTCAGAAGGAACTTAAATGACTGGGAGTTGCAAAGTGTGGTAGATTTCTGGGAGAGCATAGAAGCTTTCCAAGGTCTCACAGAAGAGGAAGATGCTTTAATTTGGAAGGGTCACAAATCAGGTTCCTTTTCAGTGGAATCTGCTTATCATTTCGTTAACAATACTCCTAATCTTGTGCAAGGATGGCCATGGAAACAAATTTGGAGGGTCAGGGCACCTACAAAAGTCCAATGCTTCACATGGCTAGTAGCAAGGGAAGCTGTCCTAACTTAGGATAACCTTCTTAAGAGAGGAATCCAGCTACATGCTAGGTGCAGTCTTTGTGGCGAAGATGGGGAATCAGTTTCCCATCTCTTTATTCACTGTCCGGTCACTACTCAACTTTGGCACTTCTATCTCAATTTGGCTGGTATATCCTGGATAATGCCGAATAACACTGCATCTCTTCTCAGTAGCTGGAACAATGGAGGGGTAAATATTAAACAGAAGAAATGGTGAAAAATAGTTCCTGCTTGTATCTGGTGGGTCATATGGAAGGAAAGGAATGCCGGAGTTTTTGAAGATAGACCTAGCTCTTACCAGAAAATTAAGCTTAATTGTTTTTTGTTATTTTATTTTTGGTGCAAAGAGAGCTATAGGGAGGATGTACATTCTTTACTAGATTTGCTAGAAGAAATGTAATCAAATAGAATAGGTTTTGACAGTTCTCTGATCCTTTGGGGTCTGATTGTGGTTTACACAATCTCTTGTAAATATTTTTACCCATTTATATAATTGTTACCATTATCAAAAAAAAAAAAGAATTATAAAATATTAGAACAAAAAACTTGTAATGAAATACTCTAGTAATTATAATAGAGTTATAATTTATTTAATATAATTTCAAGCCATTAAGTAACTAAGTAAGAGTGTAAGACAATTCATAAAAAAAATTCAACACTTAGAGCCTTTTATTTCATTAATAGAACTTTCAAATCTCACAAACAAATATAATTCTTTTGAAGAGCACCTAATCTACGCAGCCACCTTCTAGGAAAGGTTCTTCATCCTCATTTTCTTCGTCCTCAATAAAAATATCATTGCCAAATTCTCTTTGTAATGTTTCATGATCTAGTTGTTCTCCGAAATTAATATTATAACATGTGGGGATTGGGAAAATAAAGTTTCATTAACATGAGTCATTTCATCTATATGTTTTCTAATTCTAGGAGAAGGATTAGGGTTCGGACTAGGATTAGGATTACTACTAGTACTACTATCACCTTTACTACTTTTTTACTACTTTTTTTAAATAGGCCAAATACATTTTTAGGTGCCATAATTTAAATACTAAATTAAATTTAAAAAGTTAACACAAAAATTAAACACACAAATGAGATGCGAAAATAGAACACATAAACACAAAAATTAAGCACTAAAATGATACGCAAAAATCATATTAAAATTGGGAGATGGAACGAGTGCACGGTGATTAAATATTGAAACTTGAAGAAATTGCCCAAAAAATTGCTCCAAATATTTGACGAATTAATTTGAAGCTTGAAAATTGCTCCAGAAATTTGCCCAAATACTTGAAACTTATCACTTGATTGTAAGAAAATTGAGAGAATAATATAGATAGAATGTAAGATATTTGAGGGAGAATGATTGATTTTTGTGGGAAAAAATGAAGAAGGATGGGGTATTTATAGTAAAAAATAGGGCTAAAGTGTAATTTAATAAACTTAGGGATTATATTAAAAGTTGGGGGAGGGATAGGGGGGATGTTTTGGTGGGTGGGGATGGGGTGGGGGCCAAATATGGCCATTGGGAACGGCTATATTTGCAATGGAGGTCGTTGCACAACGGCTATAATTCAAAAAAAAATAAACAAAAATAAAAAAAAGACTTGGGGACAGACGGGACAAGCGGGCCGGGCCGCGACAAAATGGGCATCCCGTTCTTGTTTAACATGGGCCCATCCCGTTTAGAATGAAGTGGGCTGGGCTGGGACGGGACGGGCCGAGATACGGGACGGGACGGCCCGTCCCATTGGACAACCATGATGTGAAGGTTGAAAAATTGATGATAAATATATACCATTCACATTTACTATATTATGATGTGTCTTAATTAGTGTCCTAATTTATGGGACACTAACAGAAATCATAAGTAGATAACATAATAAATAGAACAAAGAAGTTAATATTATTGGTAATAGTTTGTGCAAGAAACTTAAACACAACTACACCAATAAAGTTGCCCGTATGGAGACGATAATGCTCCAGAATAAAGTAGTTTTGATTCTTATAGTGATACCTACACATTACAGGATCTATTACTTATATAATAGGCTGACCATAACTACTGCATAACCTATTACGATAAAGATAAATAACTTCTAATAACCATAATAAAACTGCTAAACAGATAGCTTCTAATAAACTTCTAATAACTGAAAGCTCCAGGAATTATCTTCTCCTAAATTTCTTTGCTTCTTCTGGAAGATACGTGGAACTTTGGAACTTCTAATAACTGAAAGCTCCAGGAATTATCTTCTCCTAAATTTCTTTGCTTCTTCCGGAAGATACATGGCTTATCTGACACTTTGACTTTTGGAGATCAAATTTATAAATTACCATGCTCTTTTTATATATTATATTTTGTTAAAGGTCAAATTTGATAATTTTGATTAGTTTGAATATGAAAATCTAATTTTATAGATGAAATTTTGAAGTTCCATTTTGATAATTTTTATTTATTAACATTGATTTTGACTAGCAATTGATAAGTCCCCAAAGGGTCTGTGACATAAAATGGAAAGGATGGATGTTTGTTAATGGAGAATAATGGGTGATCCATCCCTTGTTTGCTTTTTATAGGTGAGTCAGTTATTAACTATTACCTATTTAATCGATTTTAGGAAATAGTTATTGGAGATGCTGAAATTGCAGGTAGTCCTGGCTCATCTTGTTCTCTCACTTTATTTTTCTATATAGTGATGAAACTGAAATTTGGCTCAAGAGAACAGGAAAATAAAAAAGTGAATTTTGATTGGTCTGGTCTTTCAGGATGCATTAGTGTCCACTGGCCAAAACTTGATTTTCTTCCTTTTTTTCCTATCTAAAAGTACTTGGACTCTCCCTTGGGATGACAAATATTCTCCCTCTTTCAGTTCATACCAGTATCATCTGGATTACATACTCCAATAATACAGAATTTAAAGGGTGTATGGTGGATTAACTAGTCCAAAAGATATAGGACCCGGAATTTGATGCATCTATCTGGGTTCATCAGAGCATTATTAGACTTAGCAAGGAATTTGGAGTCAACTTTCAAGGCTGTGAAAGAGAAGCTTTGGAGCTCTTTTCAAACATCAACAACAAAATGCAAGATAACAAAGGGAAATTAGAATTACAGGTGATAGATACTCCAAAAAGAAAAGGCCTCAATTTCGTAAATTGGAGAACACGGATGAATTTTTAAATTTAAAAGATTGAGCATATCTGGACACATTCTCTCTACACGTGTCCTCCTTTATTGGCTGACTTAACTTGGGAATATCAGCCGCCTCCCTTGTGCTTCCAAAGTCGAACGGTTCGTCTTCCACATCTCTCCGGCAACCATCCGACAGACTCCGATGTATTCTTTCCACCCACACCGTGGATTCAACCCACACCGGTACAATGAAAGCTAATTCATCCACCAAAAGCTTCACTGTTGCTGGAATGTTGACCCCTGTATAGCGTATGCAGATTCTGGCCCATAGCATATGAGATCTTGCTCTGGTATTTTCACCTAGTTCTATGAAACCTCCCAGTCTATCACCAATCTCCTTGAAACCATTATCAGACCATAAGTGCGTTGGAAAGACCAATAATTTAACCCATACATGATTCGGACACCAATTTTTCTGGTGGCAGGTACTGATCGGCGACCACCACTCCAGATGAAGTATTCGATTTTTGAAACTCCAGCATCCCATTTTTATTCTTCCAGCCTCTACTCTGGATGGAAACTCAAATAGAAAGAACACCCCATTCAACTCTTTAATTTAACACCAGCCGGAATTTTCCATGTAAATTCTGCCCATTTCTGTACCTCCCTTCTACTCGGTATCACTGTTGTAATGTCCCGAAATAGCCAAAAGGCACCTCTGCAAATACTCAATCCTGGTAAAAGTAGCTTATGTAGCTCATGTCATTTTCGAGTGAGGCAGTATTATTCTGCTACCTCTATATTTTGGAAGTCTGATGGTTCCAAATATTTTAGCTCCTTCCACAGAACATAAAACTAGCTTCTTGCTGCATAGGCTCTTATTACAGGATCATCTTATCTTGTTGAAAAGCTTTTCTAGGTTTCTTCATATGTAAGATCTATCACTTCATGGTTTAGAGAGCTATCAGATTTATCCTTTTTGAGGGCAGAAATTAAAATACGGAACAGGTCTTGCCAGTTGCGACACAGTTAGCTTAGCATCAATAAGCTTTCTGTTACTTTAATCCTGCTCATATGTTTTTAGGATTACTCTATTCAATCTATAAAAAAAGAATATTAGATTTATCCTGCATTGAATTTGTTTGGAGGGTCATAACATTATAACCCCACCAGAATGCTTATTGTCTTATTTCCTCTATATAAATATCCCTAAAACTTTCCAACCATTACACACACCCCCACCCCCACTATTATACCTTATGTTGTGCAAAAAGGCATATCAGTTATGAATTGCTTGAAGAATGCAGAGTATTACCGTAAAGTAGGCCAAGGGTAGTTATTGGAATGAATTGAATCCCAACCAAATGCCATGACAAGAGACGTCATCAACATCTATTCCTCACCAAACTTTCAAGCAAATCTCCTGATCCCAGGGTAGAGGCCTCTCTCTCACAAGGCACAAATACACACTTAAAAAGATAAAATCAACAGAATGCCACCCGAACAGAATTGCTTTGTAGAAATCTCAAGATTTGCAAACTGTTTTTCATTTATTAGATGCTTTCACAAAAGCATGTGGTTTATCAGGTTATTTGGCGAGGTTGACATATAAGTTTCAAGATAAACTCAAATAATTTTGAACTTCATTGCATCTTACTTTGACTCCGATCTTGGATCTTTATTGTAAATCCCAAGACATCTGCACAATGTCAACTTTTTACTACACTGAGAATTTTTTATTTCTTTACTCCTGATCCATGGGGAGCAAAAGAGAGGAAAGGGAACAGACTTTTCTTCCTCCACCCCGGAGATGTTCCATTCAGATGTGCAAATAAGCATTCTGCACAAGAATGTTGCCATCTCGCATACAAGTTTTTGTATCTTGTGTCACTTTAAAGTGCATTATATACATCGTCCTTGAGCAATTTTATGGCCAGTTTAATTTCACTGATATTTTCTACTGTTTCTCCTCTTTTTAGCAACATAGCACATCTGTCGAGTTCGACATTGATTGTGCTGTCTCAAAATGGTACCAAACTCAGGAAAGATCATGGTCAAGGCTGAATGTTTCAGATGTAGTTTCCACCACACTCCATGAACAAAATCCATCTGCCAAATGCCTTTGCTGGAAAGTAATTATATGTTGTCAGGATAGTATAAACAATCGAAACCGAGAAAATGGTCTGGAGAAGTTGAATGCTAAGTCATGGTTGCTTTCCAAGCTCATGCCTGCCAGAGACCATGAAGATGATTTGCTGCACACATCTCCGGGCCTCTCTGTTTGGAGAAATTGGCTTCTTGACCAATCAGCCGAGGACCTAATTTGTTGTTTATCAGTTATCAAGTATGCTGATTTTGAGAATCTGAATGAGACAGTAGCAGGTGCAAGCGCTGTTCTCTTCCTGTTGTCAGAAGGCATCCCGTGGGATCTTCAGAAGAATCAGCTTCATAAGCTGTTAATGGAAGTACCTTCTGGTTCTCATTTGCCCCTTTTGATCTTAAGTGACATGTGCAAGGAAAATGCAGATCCTTCCACTATAGTTAAAGAACTGGAGCTACATGAAGTCCGTGAATCAAGACTTCATTCCTTTAGTGTTGTTTTCCTAAAAAACCAGCAGATGGAACAGCTGAATGGGTTTTTCAGTGATGAGCAATTAAGAGGAGGACTAAAGTGGTTAGCAAGTGAATCACCACCACAACCAGTTCTCCAGTGTGTAAAAGCCCGAGATCTGGTTCTCTACTACTTGAACTCTTTGCTTGGGGTTCTTGGTGAAATGGATGCTAATGATGTGGATCCAAACCTCTGTATTTCAGCCTTTAATGAGGCCTTGGATCAGTCAATGAGGGAAATCGCTGCTGCAGCTCATGCAAATCCTACCTGTTGGCCCTGTCCTGAAATAGGTTTGCTGGAGGAATCTCGCCTTGAGTACAAAGCTGTGAGCCAACACTTGCCAAGGCTGGGGTGGAGCTTAGCTCCAAGAATTGAACCAGTTGTCTGTGCAATATCTGACTGCAAACTTCCATCTTTTCCAGACGATATATCTTGGTTACATAGAGGTTCCCACGTGGATATCGCCATTGAACACCAGATATTACAACTTCAAAATTGTCTAATAAAGTACTTCACAGAGATTAGCAGGTTGATGGAACTGCCACTTGCAACAAAAGAGGCAGTTGTTATGCTGCAGAAGTTTGTGCAGCTTCAACTCCAGAACTTCCGCTACTACATTGTACCAAACTGGGTTATGATTTTCCGGCGGGCATTCTTTTGGCAGTTGATGAAGTTAGCCAGAGACACATCCTTTTCAGTGTATACCCTGATACAGGATGATTTTTCTACTTTAACGGTTGGAGCGGTGGAACTTGAAGACTCTGGACAATCACATTACCATTTGTCACATCCATCTCTTGATGAAATGGTTGAAGTTGGACGGATGCCTCTTCCCAGATGTGCAATGCTTAGTGGACAGGGAAGAGCTTTTCAACCCCGTCCAGGTATGGCTTCAATTAGTGAAGAAATTCCTACAACTACTGGCGCAGGCGAGGAAATGGAGTATGGAAAGGATGTTCTACGTGATGATGAATTTATAAAAACCAGTTATAATACAATGACAGATATGGAACCACTGCTGGCCACTAAGAAAATAAAAGAAGCTGACGTACTAAGCGAATTACTTGAGAGGTGTAACATTAAGCAGAACATGAATGATAAAAATTTGTCAATATATTTCTAATCAATTACCTTTTCCTTCACCCCCTGAAAATCTGTTGTATGTGTATTATACACGCTACCATGAAAATTCAACTATGTATATGAAGGGTGTGGCTTTTTGTAATATTGGAAGGTGCATGTAATTTTGCTCACGGTTAATTTTTAAAACGTGAAGGAGTCTTAAGAGCTGAAACATTTATGCATCTTCCCCTACTTTTATGTATTCTTGCTAATTCGAAGGAAGTCTTCACATCTCGAAATTTACCTTTTATGGCGATTGTTTTCTTTTTGTTCATAATCACTACTATTAGCAAATTATTGATGGTGTATTATCCACAAAAAAGAAAAGAGTTTAACCAAAGGCAACTATGATAGAAAAGATTGGAGGTTTTCTTGGTGTGTCATGAGACTCGAACTGAGATTGACAAACTTAAAAAACGTTGTTCGTTAATCCTTTTGCTATATGTGGGATGGGATTATATTTCATAAGCTCCTTATTAATCTCTAACACTTTTCCTTGGTTAACTGGCATATCTTGGTTCATGATGAACTCGTTATGTACTATGCGCAAATGATTTTTCCGAAGATGAGGTACGTATGGGTTCAAATGTGCTTCTGTCCATATATCAAAGCTTCCCACCAGGAATATTTTTCTAAACAAATTATTCAACCAGTAAAATTTTCATACATTCAGGGTGTGTTTTGTACGAAGGAAAATATTTTTTGAAAATATTTTTAATTTTTTCATGTTTGGTTAGTTTATCGTTGATTTTCGTTGATCGAACAATTTGTTCAACGATATCGATGATTTTCAAGTTTTATAAGTCAATTAAAGCTTGACTCTAGTTAGATCAAGCTCATCTTTTCACATAAACTTGGGGTTGATATAAAAAGTGGAATCATTGGAATTTCACTTCAAAAACAAAATAAAAAATAGCCTCTGATGATGACGAGGGAAATGACCCACATATGATTATCACTAAGGTGGTTGTTGCATCTAATGGCTCTACTTTCAATACTGCATTCGGAGGTGGCCAAGCTAGACTGATTGCCTCTCATTTTGGCTCTCTTTTATGTTTCAATTTCACATTTCACATGGAGTAATAAAACACGGAAGAAAAATAAAAGAATGACAAAAATAGATAAAATAACAAGCAATTGGTTCGTTGTATGCTTAACAACTGGGCTTAGTACTCCTTTCGTGCCAATTCATGTGACACTCTTTCCTTTTTAGTTGGTCTCAAAAAATAAATTTTTATATATTTAATAATAATTTAATTTTAGGTTTCTCATTTTATCCTTAATAAGACAATTTATTGCCTCACAAATATCTATGCCTCTATGGCTTGTTTTAGACCACAAGTTTCAGAAGTCTTTTTTTTTTCTTCTTCTTAAACTCTATGTCCAATCCAACATTATTACATAAATTGAGAAGAATAAAGTATGTTTTTATAAAAATTAAAGGAAAAAAGAAGTATGCTTCCTTGTCACACACGAACATTATATTATCCTTTGGAAGTTGATGTCACACAACAAAAAAAGGCAGCCTAAAAAGGCCGTAGAAAAGAGATAGGGACTTAGAGAGAGACTCTCTTACCACTCTCTACAATTATTTTCACTAACAACATCCCCCCCCCCATAACTTCACCGAAACCACTATATATTTCTCAAACTCCACTTATGAAATTACACTGAATTTGTTATTATTGTAACCATTGAATATACAAAGTACTCAAATGAAAGTTGATAATCAAATCAAACATTCATTAAGAGAAATATTGGTGGATAAAAATTTTTCAAACCTTCAGAACAACTGGTTCTTATTGATATAGGCTAGGACTTCTTCACTGTCAAGTTCAATGAAGAAGGAAATATGAAGTGCGTCCTGCATGGCAGACCATGGTTCATTGTTCGACACTTCCTGTCAGTTAGACGATGGGAACTAAATTTTGTCCCATAGGAAAAAAAATTATCCTCCACTGGAATTTGAATTAGATTACCCCAACTCCCTACGGAGTTCGACAATAATCAGATTCTTAAACAAGTGGGAGGAAGAGTAGGCAAACTCCTTAATATTGATATATGCACCTCCTCCACACTAACTTGTTTGGATGATTATTATGTATTATTTCATAATGTGTCGTATAGTATTATGTTGTATTATATTGTGTTGTATCGTATTGTATCGTTTTGATGTATACGATATTCGGATAGATTGTATTGTTTGTCGCCGTTTTATGATGTCATGCACCAATCGTACGAAAAATAAACTTGCAATATTATAAAGAAAAGGTTAGGTGCGGGGTGAAATTAATTATTATATAAAATGGTAGACTAAAGGATAAAATATGATTATTTAATACTCCCTCCGATTCACAATAAGTGACCAATTTGCTTTTTCATTTTGGTTCAAAATAAGTGTCCAGTTATGTAATCAAGAAAGAATTCAATTTGTTTTTACAAAATAACCCCTATGTACATATCCCTAAAAGGTTTTCTTACTCCTCACATTAAATGTTTAATTAGGGGTAGTTTAGTCATAGTAGGTATTTTTGTATAGAATTTAGTATTTTCTTAATGGCCGTGCTAAAAGCAAATTGGTCACTTATTGTAAACCGGAGGGAGTAATAAGGAAGGGCAAGATAAAAGAAACAAATAAGGTAACGGTGCGACCACACCAAATCGGTCGTTCCGTAATGTGGCACTTTTCGTCGTTATGTAACGATGGATTTAACAATACGCTACAATTAAATTTAAGTAAAAATTAAAATAAATATTGTATTTAAAGTAACAATACGATACAATACAATAGGTAACAGCCATCCAAACAAGATGTATGGGGGTAAATATGCAAGGATATGTGTGCAAATACAACTGTAGAAACACTAGTTGAGACTATAGTCATCTTCAGGGAACACATTCAACCTATTATCTACGAGAGAGAAGGAATACTATGTAAGGATTGTGGGAGGATAAGCCATATTATGAACTTAAGTACTATCCCTCCCTCAAAGTTAATTCCCACCAACCATTCTTCCTCTTCATATGATGAGATGCTCGAGAGTTTCGTCGATGGCCAAATCATCCTCCGAAACAACAAGGTCTCAAGCATAGAAATTTTAGCTGGTAACTAAACCATTACCGCCACAACTTATTACCAAAATCGTGGTTGGAGGTGGCTCTGCAGGACAACAACCTAACTCTGCACTTCAAGGTATCCAACCATTCGCTGACTCTCTCTCTCTCTGTGTCTCTTTCTCTCTCTCTAAAGTCCTCACTTTTTAGCAAGAGTGGTAACGGAGGTGATGAATCAAGAGCTAGAGTATTTTGGACAATAGCTATGGTTGACTACCCTGCTTTAAGCACAATACTCTACAAACCAATAAAACCTGTCCCCTTAAGAACTAGACATGCTAATGAGCCAGGTTTATCAGTCTATGTCTTTTATTCTAGTGCTATCATCGGAGGCACCAACAGTGCTGCCAACCATTGTTCCATTTCTGTCTCAGTTAGAGATGGTGCTATTGCACCAGGATCCTACACCATCCATATCTATAGGTTCACCATCTCTGGAGAAACCTTTGTCTCCACTAACAAGCCGAAGCTGGCAGAGACAAATATACTTGAGCAACTCCAGAACTCAAACATGGAGATTCAACCCTTCTAACAGATTGGGTATTCCAAGAACAAAGCCACTTCTGATCTAGGAAGGCCATAAAATAAAGTTCAAAGAGCCTTTTGCCAAAATGCTTATCTCATTACTAAAACGCAATATTATATTGCGTTTTACTTTCTTTTTGGGCCCACCAATAAGTGTTCTGCGGATAATTGACATAACAATAATTCAAATACATAAAGAGTGGTATTATACTGCGTTTTATATAAAAAAAATTTGCACCCCAAGCCAGGACTTGCCTTATTTAAAGGCGTTAGGATTTTATGAAAATCCATTCAAAACTTTCCTTCAAACTTCCGTTCATACTTCTCTTCTTGTTATCAAGCATTTTTTTATAATGTCTGAAGAGCCAAAAATAAGGGTTTCATTATATTGGGGGGGGGGGGGGGTGAGGTTGTAATGGAGAATAACTCTGTGAGGTATAGTTCACCTCCACAGTGTCATGTTAAATTGCCGCTTACAATGGAGTACGATAAATTGGTATCGTTGTTATGTAAAAAAATGAGTGTGAGGAAACGTTCGGTGAACCTTAAAGTAACCGGTAGATTTCCCTATTCTGTGACTCTGCAGGGGTTTGCTTATTATCTGAGTTTAACATCGAAGATGATGAAACTCTTAGAGATTTTTTGCGAATTCCGGATGAATACAGGGAATTTATTGTAATAAAATTGTTGGAAATGTACGTCAAGGTTGAAGACGTTCCCAATAATGAGGGTGTGCATAATAGGGATAACTCCCAGTCATCGGGTGATTATTTAGGAGTAGTTTTTGCTGGACAGATTCCTGATGAAAGAGCTTGCCTTGATTTAAACTTGTCACCACCGGCGAATGAGCAGCGAGAAAATAATTTTTTGGCTTCATATAATCCACAAGACGACTGGTAAACTTCAATTTTTCTACGCTTTAGCGATGTTTATTTTATGTTTGAATTGGATTTGTATTAACACTCATATTTTTCATAGGGGGTACCATCCGGATATGAATTTTACAAGTTATGACCCCGCTCCTAGTTGGAATATGCGTAGTTATGGCGTGTTGGACCACGGTTTGGTCCATCCGGGAGTCATCACCAGCAAGAAAATGTCCATCATGGAACGTCAACACAGTACGACTTGTAAGTAAAGTGATATAGCTATATGTAAAGTATTTATCTAGTTGAGTAGCTTATCATTTTGTTCTTTTTGTGTAGTAAAAACGAGCAACTTGATGTTCCTGACCTCACACAGTTGCCCATAGACGACGTATTTACTCGTGATTTGGCAGATGCGTAGAGTCAGGAAGATGATAGTGATTATGACAACAATGTCGATGAGTCTGGATATGACACACCCTTCCCTAATGAGGGTGATGATGAGGAGGAAGTGAATGTCGAACCTGAGCTGACGAGGGAGCATGCTCCTCCACCTCCCGTTAGACCAAGAGTGTACGAGTCCCACGTGCCGTTTCATGAGCGGAATATTCCCTACCTTGATAATTTGCCAAGCATGCCGGACGTGGATGCCCTCACAAGGGATGTT